TGTGCTGGTGGTGGGCACCCAGGAATTCTGCAGCAGCCTGGAAGGGACCCAGGCCTGACCCCAACGGGATCTCCCGAGATGGGAATAAACAGGGGATCTCTTCTGCAGGGGTCTCCAGCAGAGCAAGAGTTACAATGCTGAAACTTCCTCCCACGCACCCCATGCTCGCACCCTCGCCGAGAACGAAGCAGAAGCCAAGCCCTGGGACACAGCCACGGCAATCCACAAAACTCGGAGAGAAAAAAAAAAAACAAAACCAAACACAAAACCAAGAGGGAGGTGGGGTGAAAGGCTGGAAATTAATCAACACTTAAACAAACATTAATAATAAAAAAAGGCAAAGGGAAAAAAAAAAAATCAATGTCAGAAAATGCAGGCATCACTTATTCCAGGCTTCTGGTCTCTAGGGGAAACTTCTTGGTGTCCATAGCAACAGATCGCCAAACTCCTGTGCTGGCAGGTCTGATGGGAGGGAAGGCAGAGGAAAAGGAGTCGAGGATGGAAGAAACGCTTACAGCTGCGCTACACCACTGGCGGAGATGAACCTGATGCAGTCGCTCCTATTTGTACCCACGGAGATGGGTCAGGACCCGGCTTATGGCACCACCGCCCTCCGGCTTTGTTCAGCCCTAAGCCGAAAGCTCCCTGATTTGTGATTAACCTCCGGCCCATGCTGGAATTTTGCTCTGGGAACATTAACGCATTGTTTTGCTGGGGCTCTGCTTGTTTTTGAGCAGGCAGCTGCCCGCCTCGTGGCCTCGCGCAGGAAGTATTACACATCGCAACACCCCTGAGCAGAGGGACAGCTGAGCAGAGCAAAGCTCATTACACCCAAATAATCCAGTAATAATGTAAGTAGCATTAGTGGCCTCACAGGCCAAGATACAGCAGTCGGGGTGAGGGGGTGGGAGCTGCCCAAGGAATGCCTTAATCTCACCCCAGTTCGCTCCTGCTTTTGCTAGGAGAGCGGGAAATTAAGCTGGCTTCGCTCAGCAATTAAGGCATTTGTGCTCCACAGTGCGGCACAAAAGGCTGCCCAGGGCCGGATTCCTCCGGAGCTGCCCCCATGTCCCAGCTGGTGCTTGATCTGCAGAGCCAGAGGAGCCGCTGTGGCCACGGCCGGGCAGCGAGCTGCCGCGTGGGCATGCAACAGATTTCCCACTGATCTGGATTACGGTGGCACCTCCGGTCAGGGATCGGTGCCCTGCACAGTCTTAGGGATGGACAGCAGCAGCCATACACAAGGAAGGGAGCTTACAACCTGGTACGGTGAGAGATGGTGCCCCCAAACAACACCCAACGCTGTGTAGAAGAGCTTTGTCCCCTGGGATGGCAGAGGGATCCTCCAAGCCATGCTGCAGCGAGCAATCTGCGGGTTCCTGCCGTGCATCCCTGGGCAATCCCCCTCCTTCCTTCCCAGAGCACCCACCTTCCGCTTCAGGAGGGTCAACAACCTTGTTTGCCTTCCTGTCCTCTTCCTGCACGGTGTCCCAGCCCTCCGCCGAGGAGCGGCGGGAGAGGGGAGCGCTGAACCCTTACACCACCTCTGAAACGCTTTGAGCCCTCCAGGAGGGGACGGGGCTGACAGGAGATGATCCCCACCTACCTTGGAAGGATGGCAGCTCAACACCAGTGCAGATAACAGGGCACAGCTCCCCAGGGCAGGCTCAGGGCTGAAAGGCTGGTGCAAAGCAAGCTCCACCAGCTGCTTGGTGCCCCTCACCCCGGGACCCTCACCCCAGCAGCCCCCACATACCCCAGCAGCATCTCAGAACAAAGTTTCCAGCAGCACAAGCTACAAGGAATAGAACACCCAGGGGCATTTATAAAGATCCATCCATCACCCCTTACTGGGACCAGACCAGGTCCTGCTGGTTTCCCACCTATCTCCCTTCTCCCAGCCCGTCAGCCCTCCAGGGAGGTCAATTAGACAGAAACTGCTGCAGGTGGGTTTTGCATCATTAGCAACAGGTAATTGGAAGCTCCCACCCAGCTTGGAGAGGCTGCCCTGATGCCGCGTTTGCTATCAGCATGTTTATGAGACAGCATCTCCACAGGGGGATGGGGAGACCTGATTTAATTAATTACCAGTAATTAATATTTGCACAATGCTCAGAGAGCCACAGGTGAAGGGGACTGTGGAAAAGCAAAGCATTCACCCTTTAATTAATAATGAGAGGCCGTGCCACTGTGGGATGCTTGGGTGGGTGGGTGTGCTGCTGGGGCTGAGGGCTGGCACGTGCACCGAGGTATGAGTAAGTGGCTACTGGCCACGACGGGGGGAGATGTCCCTGCTGGGTGCTGTGGGTGTCACCGTGGGGCTGGCTCCCGGGTGAGCCCTGAGCACGCTGGGGGACCTGCAGTGGTGTGTCGTGGGGTCCTCACACCTCCACAGGGGTGAGCCCCCCCTCCAGCAGCCGCTGGCTCCCCATCCTCCCCGCCGCCTGGCGGTGAGCGATTCAACGCACGCCACC